TCCAAGAGCATTGATTCATTCCAACCGATCAGAAACATTGTTCAAATGTATCGTTTGGCTGTTCAGAGTCCCTAAAAAATGGAGTACGTGAGGCCACAGCGTCAGGCAGTACAAGGAAACAGTTGAAGCACGAGTTACTGATTATATGCTGCGTTCAGAAATTAATGTGAGCAGGGCATGCTCTGGCCTCAGCAGCACACAAGGACAACGAAACGTCTGCTTAAAAAATACGGTTTAGTCGTTTCAGTTTAAAATGGCTTAGCTTAATCACAACAATACAATCCTGGCATGGTAATGCACCTTTTGTAAATCTTTGTTGTGGAAGGCGTAAGTTAGTTGCCATGACTACTGTTCATCTTTAAGTCTTCTAAATGGAAGACATGGTGGTGGGAGAGGAGTTACTTTGGTTAAATAATCCCCCCACCCTCTACTTTTCCGAAATTCACCTATCGCAGGGCATCATGGAATGTATCGGCCATGAAAAATGAGTGAACACTGTCAGAGTCTTAGAGAGGTAAGGCAGGGTAAGATCATTTCAAGACTTGAAAACAAGAATCTTAATGCAGAATCTTGAAATTAGCTCTAAAGTGGACAGGCAGTCAGTGGAGGCTTACTGAATATAGTCTACCATCACCACTAGTTAGAACACATCCTCCAAAAGTGGTCAAGGGCAGACACAGTCGCCATTGCATTTTCAATAATTTTATTCAAGAAATGGTTGAAAAATGAGATATTCACCACTGTATTATGAGTAACAGTTCTTTGTTTTTCTTGTAGCATAGTCACAATATGAACTAAGCACCAATATTGGAAGAAAACACTTCTATTAATTTACACTCTCATTTTATATGGAACAGCACTGCCCACTTGTGGCTGGACTTCAACACACTGTATATCGTCAAATGCTATAACTATGCCTCCATCATTCTCCTACTCAGAATGCCGTGTTTAGACGAGTGGTGGTGCATAGCACATATTCTTGGAATGAAAATTTTTGACTTGACTTGCGCTTTAAAGAGTTGACTTGTTTTTACTTGTCTCAGTGGTTTACGTTTTTACGTTTTTAATACTTGTTTTTATAAGTTAAAATGCTCATTTGCCAGTACAGGTAATAAAGATTGATATTGGACCTTTGAGTCCATAACTAATAAACTCAATTTTATAACATTTCCTGTGGGAAACTTTTTTTAAAAAATTTGAATTAGAACGCTTGTGAACGTTTCTTGTTGCAGTGTACCTTTGGCTACGATGAGCATGCCTCCACTCTGGAGCAGGTCACCTGAAAAGTTGCCCTGGATGCCGTCAGCGTTGGCCTGCGTCGTGTGAAGCAGCAGCAAAAGAGGCAAGGGTCAGCATACGTGCCGGCAACGGTGGAAGAATTACACCAGCATGCAACTAAACACAGCTACCTTTGAAGCTACTTCTCGTACTTTCTTCCCCAGAGCAGCGGGAACCATGCTCAAAGCCGTATACCTGGCAAGTTAATGAAAGTAGAGCATGAGTGAGCAGTGAGTGATTCTCAACTATGCAATGTTTAATAAAGTGGTAGCTTGATGAGATTATGAGCTTTTGCTCAGACACTGTTCAGCTTTGTCACCGTTTTTGAAGAATATATATATATATATAAGAAATGAGCTTCAGGTATTTCGCCTCGAGATGGCGGCAGAAACTTGTGAAAGTACAGGAAACTTTTGTTGACTGCCACTTCAAACTTAAAGTTTACTGCAAAACTGAAACAAGTGATTACACTTTACGTCTTGAACCCACACACATCACTGTGTCTTATGAAAGTCTGCGAGCTTCATGTTAACAAACTGAGGCAGTGAGAACCTTGTCAAAACTGAAATTTGAACACAATTTGGATTGTTTTATGTTTGTGTAAATGCAACCATACCGGATATGTACCTGCAAATACATAAAAAGAAATTAAATCTGGGACCTGCAGAGTTACCACAACCTTAGATTTTGTAGGGTTACCAAATGCGTGGTGCAGCGTGTTCAAGGTAAAACTCGATCAACACACCTTTTGAAGCCCAAATCCTTGTAGCATTTCTTTTGCTCGTCAACATAGATTGCTAAAAGGAAAAAAAAACATGTTTTGGTTATTTATTTCATGAGAGTCACACTGGGGGCAGTGTAATAAAAACGTACAGACACAGACAAAGAAGAGTTCTACAATATATTAAATAAGCGGTCATTTTTCGTAAAGGATAAAGACGACATGCTTGTGAGTTCTGTTATATTATGTTGTATGTGTGTTGCGACTCTGTTTGTGACCTGTTGCCTAAATACAATACATTTTTATTTATAACGCTTTCAGAACAGCTGCAGTTGTAACAAACAACTTCTAACTGGTTACAACACGAAGCTATTTGTTTGCCCTCATGTGGCGTTTTGCGATGATTTTCACTATGAAGCGAAACAAAATTTATTCAGGCAAAGCTAAACAACATGTATATGCTAATCCACGTATTGCCAAATGATATCATTTTATCAAAAACAACAATGAAGAAAACCGCAACAAAATAATTATATTGGTGGCGTATTGGTTTCGTGTAGTCAAGCGAGTAGTTAAAGGTGTGTTTGAAAGAGTCATGTGACACAAATATCTCTCATGAACCAAAATATAGTCATGGGAAAAATTAAGAGACCTATAAAAAAATAAAAAGTATGTTACATTAAAACTACTCTGACAAGTACAATTTATTTAAAAAGTTACTTAAGTAGTTGAAATGAACTAAATGTTTGTTTGCTTTCATCAACAAAACAGCGCATGGCAATAATTCCAAAATAAACATTATAAAGGATAAATCTGCAAGCATTCGGAGCCCACATTTTAAAAAAAGTTTATAATTGCTCATAGATGTCACAAGATGGAGACAAAGCACTGCTTTTGTCCAAATTAAGCCACTTAATTCAACCAAGTCTCTTGGAACCAAGATGACATCAAAATCATACTTCTGAATGACCGAGCCACAAGTGTGTCCCGTGAATGCCGCTTACATCCTTTAAAGAACCCCAACTTTTTGAACTCCTCGAGGCCCAACTCCTCAGGCCCGATGCCCACGAGCGCCACGCCGTTGGCGCTCAGGTCAGGCTCCAGCTTGCTGATCTCGGCCGCCGTCCAGCGGCACACCTGGCAGCCGAAGCGCCGCAGGAAAAACAAGACCACCGGCCCGTCCTGCCACAGCGACTGTAGCTCCACACTCTGTGACAACACAGAAGCACAAAGTCAGATACCACTGCCATTTGTTCCCAGTGGTGGAAGGTACAAATATTTTGTTACTGTACTTAAGTAGATTTTTTTTGTCAAGTTAGGAAAAGAAGGGAACTAATTTGTGTGCAGAGGCGTTTCATCCTGCCGAAACATCAAAATGGGCATTGAAAATGAATTCACTGAATGTTTCTCCTTTTTTATTCCAGCATTTCAACTTGTTGTTGTTCAACTCGTTACCTGTACTTACAGGAGTTGAATCTGTAGTTCTACGTATACCACAGTATTTTATTACAAAAGTATGTCTACTTTTGCACGAAGTACAGAGGGTGAGTACTGTACTTTTGCCACCTCTTGCCTGTTTCTATGCATGTGAGCAATACATAATTATGATAACAAGTCACCCCAAAGACACACTTGACACTGATTAGCCTCTGTGTGAAATATAATAGCAGCTATATGCCAGCAGGACTCAAAGGCCCCCGAGGGGGTGGCAACGTGGGTCCAGTATATTTAAAGGGAAACTTAATTGAAATACAACCTGAAGAATTTACACGATATAGTTTCATTTTTTTAAATTACTTTTGTGTCTTACCTCTCCAGTGTCCGCGCTCTTCAACAAGTTCTTCCCGACGCGAACAAGGTCGATGTTAGCCATGTTTTACAAAAAAATAAAAAAACAGCTAAAAGCAGTGGAGTTGTGTCAGGGAAAATAAATATATGTAACACACAGTTGTTGCAAAACAACCACTTCCTGGTATGTATACTGACTTGTGTCGTCCAATCATATTAGGCTAGTAGGAAGCGTCCAATCATATTAGCCTATCTGGGAAGCCGTAGCCAATCAGAATGCAATGAAGGGCATGGAAAGAGGCGGGACATTCTCAAATGATATAAATGTGAGCTTGTGAGTTGAGCATAGGTGAGGTGATTTACGACATGAAAGTACAGTATACCTCTTCAACGCCCTTTTTGCATTGTTTTATTATCTTTTGTTATGGCTGGTTCGAAAAATATTTAGTAAATGGCAAAAGCAAGTGTATTACGTCACTCACGGGGATTATCATTCAGATAGTCACAATCATTTTGTTATATATTTTTATTTTTTGATATGCATGCTACAATGTGAGGTACGACGTTTTTAATTTTGAACATATTTTTTCGATTTTTACGTTGTATTATTTTAAAAACATTTTAAAATATATTTTCCCCATATTAACATGTGTTTCACATGTTTTTTTCTTTGTAGAGCGTGAGAGCATAAACCTTTCTAATGAAAAATATGAATTTCAATTTTACATCTGTTTCCTTTAAGTATATTTGGTTTTGTTCCAAAGTATTTCCTCCAAATTATTGCAAAAGCGGAACAATTTTTATTTTTCGAAATTTAAATCAAGCAATTATTTTTTTTTAACAAACAACTTAGTCTTGTTAATGTTTTCCCAAAATGATTATACAGTATAGTTTTTAATATTGCAAACAATGGTATATTTCATAATAATTTGGGGCTTTTAACTTTTAACATTTAGTTTTTTTGGTATCCCGCGGTACACTGCATCTCTTTTTATATTTATTTCCCATTGCTTTTTAATAATTTATTTTTTCCACCCTAAACGACTTGCACGGAGCAGTTATGTGTTGACAACGCAAAGACAGACGTGCGGCGGTGCTGATGTTGCAGCGGGTGTGTGACGTCACGGGAGAGACCGGCAGGAAGAGGCTGGGGGCGGGAGGGG